AAGGCAGGTTGTGGCTTTGTAAAAACGTGGAAATTATGGGATGCAAGGCACTACTGGTTATTCTAATAATTCAACAATTATGATAACATGGTACTCCCTGGAATACACAAACGTTTTGTTTTCATTTGAATCTGATCCAGACATTCGTCATCCTTTGTCATCACTACGCAGCGCTCCCCAACAGCGTTCCCCCTCTGCAGAGTATTTGACTCCCTTTAAGATAGGGCTGTCGAGCCATCTCATATGAGAACAGTTGTTTTGTTCAACCTAGTCTTTTTAAATAAAGGAAATCTCCCAGGTCACCACCAAAATGCTGGTTAAAAGTTTAAACTTAAGTTTTACCAGGATGATTGAGCACAGAATTGAATCAGGTGGGGTTATAAGCAATAATATGCAGCCAATGTTAAACGTTTTTAGCCTTTGTGTATGTATCAGTATACTGGGGGGGGAGGGGGCCGAAAAATACATCTATGATTTTTAATCAGTCATTTAAGTAGTGATAATTGCATGATTGTTGGACTGTCCAAACTCTATATTTCATCTTATATACTCTTGGTCTGTTAAAAAGGTATTAGAATAGTCTCTTGGTTCCCAAATTTCCAAGAAATTGCACTTCCAAATATTACCGTGAACTATAGATTTCTGTGACCAATTACTTCCATGAATGCTATTCTACACATTGTCATTTCTTTCGCATCCCTGATTTATGCCTTTTAAAGTCTTTATGACTTTACGTTTGGCTTTTATGTAGAAGCAGAGTAGGTCGTGTGGTTATCCAGAGGCATTAGTATGGTAATTTTCTTGAAGTTGAGTAGGTGGAAATAATTAATGGACTGCTTTATAGATGTATATGGATAGCTTCTTCACTCTGTGGTTTCAAGTCCCAGCTTCAATAAACAATCTTGAGACTTTATCTGCGGGACCAGTAATTACACAGGGCAAGAATAATTACTGCACAAATATCATCTGATTGTGTTTTTCACTATTGCTACAATTTTAAGGCTTAAATATACAAAACAGGAATCTGTGGCATGAATAGTGTACTGTTTTTTATTTCAACTCATGAATTCCAAAAATTAGGTTACTTAAATTCAGGGGGATGTGGGGGGGAGGGGGGGCGGGAGGAATATCACACTTTTCGAAGTTTAAGTAACAATTTTCCAAGAAGCCAACTTCTATGTATGGCAGTTTTGCTTTCACAGACTTAATTGCTTCTGTCAGTGCCATTATACTGTGAGCCTTATTAGAAAGTCATCAATTAGTAAGTTACTACTTGGCAATAAATAAGATACTGCCGTTATTTCCTAGTTTATGTAGAGCTCTGGAGTCTTAAATCTCTTAGCTTTCGTACAGGAAGTCGATGCTATACAATGGAATTTTCTCCATAATGCAGCATAAGAGGAAGGTAGTCTTCCAGTATTGCAGAGTTGAATAACTGCAATTTATCAGGTTCCACTATATAGTAATTGTTTGCAGATCTTAATGATACCAAGCAGCGCATTTTAATATTTTTCAAAATAGTAAAAAAAATAAAATAAAGCCAGGAATATATTTTTCCAACATATTGCTTCTCTTGCCAGGACCAAATCCTACCTTCTGATGCACATTAGGCATACCGTTTATACAAATTGGATATCTAACCCCACCATATCAGGCGGTCATTATAAACATCCACTTAATTCTGCAAAAATGAGTATTGTGCATTTGCTTGTAGTCTCTGCTCTGCCTTCTTTGTCATTCTGTACCTCATCTTCTCCCTCTGTTGGACTGCTCTAGGCTGGCTGATATTTTATGCTCTGCTGTTGGCACACTGCTATTACCTGTCACACTGACAGCTGCAAAACAACCTCATCACGTTCCTGTACTGAAATCATTCTGTGCGTTACCAGCCCCAGAACCTAATTAATTGCAGACATCGTGGAACACTTCTTCCCTTTCCTTTACGGGGCCTCCCCCCTCTTTTTCATTTTGCTACTGTTTTTTTGTCTGTAGGATTGTGGGGGAAGGGGGAGAAGAGAGAGAACCCGATACCAGTATATAACAGTCAGCAATATGATTCTGGAAAGCCAGACATGGAAACCACCAGGCTTGATTCCCGTATCAGGCTAGATAGTTGTTAGGTGTTAACAGTTTAGACAAAAGCCCTTGCTCTGTATGCAAGAAAACACACAGTTTAGTTGCGATTCATGCTTTTTTTTTTTGGCTTCGCTTTTCAAACACAAGATCTTATGGCAAGATGATATGAACACACAGCTTAGGTCAGCCTGGTTGCACCTAGGATTTCCCATCTTCTTCCAACTTTAAAAGTGCTATTAGCTGTTAATACTCCTGAGCTATAGATGGCAAGAATAGTTTGGTTAACATGCCAAGTTGTGTCAGCAAAACAGTTCTGCATCTCTATGTGGAAACCATAAAGCCCAACTAAGAAAAATGTTACTATTAGTTGAAGGTTATAGGGAAAGTATTTTATCAAGGGAATCAACATGATATTCTGCAAGTCCATTAGAGGTCTAATAATGATAACCAAAGGGGGAAAATCCTGGAGTTTTGTCTGACCTTCCTCTGTCCCCAAACCTCTTCTAAGTTCTCCTGTCTTCAGTGAGTGAGCAAGAAGTGTAAAATTTAGCCCTAAAATTCTGACATGAAAATTTGAGACCAGCGTAAGAATTGAGAAGCCCCCGACTCTCCAACTAGTCTCACTTCCTGGCCAGATGGAGAGAAGTTCGCTGCGCTGTCTTCATGAGAAACTGTCCATGAGCAGCAGCAAACCAGCCGAGACGAGAGAAACACAGCGACTCCCTGTGTTAATAACTTGGATGTTCAGTCTCAGCTTTGAGGTTCACACCACACCACCATTCTGCTAACGGCAATGACCAAAGAATCACTTATCTGATCTCTTGCCTCAATCCTAACTGAACCAAGAGACCATCTTGTCTTCCTCCCCACAGTTCAGTTTTCTTTAGGGCAAGAGTTCTGCTCTGAAGACAAGTTGTGAAAGTCCCTTTCTGGATCTATATCCATCTGTGCCTTATTCCCCTCTGTTGGGTGGAGGTAATAAACACTTCCCTATATCACACAGGAATGTCATTTACTTATTTTTGCAGGCTCTACCCAATTTACCTGTGCTAGAGGCACGATGTATAGAAGTCCAGTATTGCAACCGAACTGCAAGATTTGAGCATATTAATCATTAGGCCACCTGTAGGGCTAGAAGGAGAGCCCAAGCCATGTGCTAGCGAGCAGAACCAAAAAACATGGCTCTGTGCCAAAGCAGAATGACACCGACACTGGTCCCAGTTTGTTGGAACAAAAATGAGAACTGGAAACCTTGCAGTGCTCCAGTTGGAGAGCGAGTTTCCTTGGCTACAGCACAAAGCTAATGGGCTCTCCTGGCTTCTTTCAGAGGCTTGTGCAGCTTTCATTTCCCAGCTAAGGGGCCCATGCATCTCATGCCTTTCTTATCACATAGAAGAGGTTCAGTAAAAGCTATTTTAAACTTCTTAGTTACCAATTGAAGTGACAGACACCATGAGAGGAGTATCTGATCATTGGGTTTCACAGGATTTCAGTGATGAATAATACAGAGCCCCCTTTTTGCCCCCAGCATAAGCAGCATGGTGCTATAGGGTGTCAGAGGATCACATGGAACCCTTATAGTCAAGGGGTAGGGGGTTAATGTTGGTTGGCTACACCCTTAGGGAGTTGATGCTAGAGCTCAACTTAGTACATCTCACCGGGGACTAATGCAGCCCTCATTCTGTAGTGTGGCTGTTCTCGTTTCAGTTAGGCTGACTTGTGTGGAGTTAGCTACGGTGAAGACATGGCATAGTTACTTATATGGTAGTATTAGACTACGTCACAATTGTTAATGTATTACTTTGCACGGGGTATTGCAAGTTATGAAAATGCTATTTTCCCTTTGTGTTTTTTAAACGGTCGTTCTGTGTTTGCCAGCTAAGTGACTTGCTTACAATAACTCAGAAAACTCCCGAAACACATGGTGGAACAGGGATTTTGAACATGTCTTCTAGTCCAAGGCTGGCTCCTCAACCAGAACCCAACCATTTTCCCCAAACATCACCATCTTCACATGCATGTTTACTGCACAGTAACTGAAACTATGGTGCAGTATGGGCACGTGTCTACACATGCACAACCATACTGCACAGTAAACATGGCAACTTATGCCAACTTGAGCATAAATTTGATATCTACAATGTGCAGGTATCATATTCACACCCGATTAGTTACTATGCAGTAATGCACGTGTAGACGCCTCGCTGCACAGTAACACTATGCGTATAGACTGACGTGGGACTAAAATTAGTCCCAAGTCAGTCCACACAGTGTTAAAGTGCTTTAATGTCTGCATGTGTAGATGCCAGCCTATTCCTGCTTACTGCTCAGTAATTTATTGTGCAGTAAATGTAAGCCAGCATAAATGCATGTGTAGACATGCCCAGTTACAGGAAACTGTTAATTCCCAACTATTAATTTATTTTCCCCTCTTACTGCTACTTAACTCACTAATACAGTTATATATGCCTGTTGAGCATTCTGTGAAGTAGACTAAGTGAAAGATACTCTAGATTATATCAATGCACCTTTCTGCGATGTGAGCTTGGAAGCAACATTGGGAGATTTGTGGGCATTTCATAAATACAGTTGCGTTCTGTAGAAGTAAGGGCAACACTATTTTCCTCCATACATAATCGTTTAAAAAAGTCTTACTGCTTTTTTCCCTGGTGTATACACCAAGACAGCATGGTATTTCCTTGCTATCACATGCAGAATATTCATTTGTGAAATGCTGATACTGAAAGAACAAAACGCGTACATAAGAATTGTAAGAGAGATCAACAGCAAACAAGTGAAAGAGTTAACAAAAAAATGAGACCAACAGGGGCTGAAAATAAGGGTAGGCTGTGAATCTGTGAGCAGGAAGGTGGAGTATTGAGGGAGGGAACATTAGGTTTCCTTTTAAAACTTTAAATACATTAATAATGGCTTCTAACAGAGATTAATCATGGCTCAGAATGGAGAATGGGGTTGTAAATCTACAGCTAGGAGGGGAAGAGCAGGAAGAGAGAGATGGGATTTTTATTTTAAATAAAGACCTGTATGTTTTATGGCTCAGAAGCAAAGATTACATTGTTGGTGCAGAAGCCTCACAGAGCAGCAGCTCTGCAATTGCAAGCATATTTCAAAGTAATGGCAAGTATCTCTAAGCACTCACTAGGTTGAGCGCTTTGCATTTGGGGGGTGCCGAGTGAAACTTTGTTCTCGGGTATGATATGTCCTTCCAGTCTTCCACAGCAAATTGGAAATGAACACAGTGCTGATGTGGCAGATTTTAAGTTTAGGGTGCACCATCACAGCTTGAATTCACCCAGAACAGATGGTGCATAAGAGACCCAGCCATAGTGCCACCTTTGTGAAAACTGTGCATCAATTCCTTGGTGCTCGAGGCCAGCCACCTCAGTCTCCAAGAGGTCACAAAACTATGGGCGTCTTAAATGCTCTCTAAAATGTCTGGCTATCTTCTGCCCTGGACATGGTCAAAATCCACGAAGCAGGAAGGGGAGCACAGGGCTGAAGTATTTCTCCCTTATTTCCGACTCCACAGTTCAGAGGAATGTCTCTGATAATTCCTCCACAGCTGAGGACAGCATCCCAGGGCTAGGCTTGGAGACCTGAGACCATCCATTATATGGAAGGTTGAGATTCCAATTCAATGCCCAGTTTTCTTCATCCCATTGAAATAAACTAGACTGAAATATTTGATCCATTGCTCTGATAAGCCAGCATCCGAGTCTGCATCCTCTGAACCCCCGTGCACTGTTCCAAGGATGAAGAGTCTGAGTCTCTGGAGAGAAAGGGCACTGGGAGTGTGGGACGCTGTGGGTACATCTACACATTCAGTAATGTGCTATAGTTACTGTGCAAGTTTAGTGCTCGGATAACCAAGTACTAAATCAATGCGCAGTAACTGGCACACAGCTTTTTAGCGATGCTTACTGCACAGTAGCCCAGTACTACTGCGCAATAGCAGACTAGGCCAGGTTTTGCCCTGCATGCTACTGTGCAGTAGAATTAAGCTACTGCGCAGTTAGTGTCTTGTGTAGATGTACCCTGTGTGCTAATATCTGTTATCCGGATACTGCCATCGTGTGGCAAGATGGGAAGAGTGCCAGGAGTCATCCGTGAGAGGTAGCTGACTATTTGGTGTCTCTTCATATAAAAGAGGTCCTCTTCCAACACAGTGTTCCTTTATTATGGCTTTTTGGGAATGGCAGTTTACTTTGGAGCTGCTTAACAGTAGTAATTCATCCTTCCCTTACTACTGTGAAGGCTTTAAAAAAAAAAAAACCCATCAGTCCTGTTATTCTCAAGTTTGTCGAAGCCTGTAAAACCAACTCTGTTGAGTCATGCTGATACCAAAACACCTTTGTCCATCTCAGTGTAATTAATTCTCAGCAAATTTATTAGCAGACTCCTCTCAGTATTCAAACTGAACTTTCCAAATGATCAGCCATTGTCTTTGAGCCAGCATATGTATAGATGCATTCAACTCTGACTTGGTTTTTCCTCCCCCCGCCCCCATCCTTTCCATTCTTAGAAATGGGTACACAGGAGCTGATCTATGTCCTGCATTAGGAAAAAGTAGGGAATACTGCATTAAGCACACAACCTATGTGTGTGTGGAACTGGAGGATTAAAGCCAATTTACTGGGATTCATAGGTGAAATTATTTAAATAGCAGCTTTTTGATAAAACTAGTTTCTGGAAGCCCTCATTTAAAATGAGCAACACACTGTGTAATGTTCATGCAAGTTGACTTCTAAGAGTAGGTCTGGTAGCTCCTACAGGCAACACAGTGCCGTTCTGTACAACAGGTTTAAAATATTCTTATACAAGGATTATCATGGAAAATGACTTGATTGAACTGCACAGTCTTTTTCCACCACGTACTAGCGACAACGTCAGGAGGGCTAGATAAGGGGTTGGCAACTTGCAGCCTGTGGAGCTATTTTACCAACACCTTGCCCATGGAGCTGGGAGCTTTGGCAACAGAGAAGCCACAGCAGCACTGTGGGGTGGTGTCTGTGGTAGGGCAGGTTAGGCTGGGAGCAGCCTCTGCTTGGAACCATGTTCTGTTAAAGCAGCCCTCTGCCACCCTGCTGCAGAAGCACTGCTGACCCCTGGATTAGAACGTGCAGGGAACGTGATAAGTTTTGCATGCAAAACCTACCTATCTGCTAACACTAATTTGTTATCTTATGTCAGCATCACCCCAAATTGCATGATGCCGGAGAGGGACAGTCGGCAGTGTGCAACCCAAACATCTAGGGAAAGCCAACTTCTGTTATTTCATATAGAAAGCATCCTGCCAATTTTCTCCAGTCCAAGTTTTCAGACTAATCACTTCAGTCATTCATATTACTAGTCAAGCATCCCCTCCCCCCCTTGCTACTGTATCATTAGACTTCCTTCATGGATTCTGAAGGCTGGTTCTGCTCCTTCAAACTGTGCGCCGACACCGAGAGAGAACACACCTTGCTCAATCTCCCCAAACCCACTGGATGAACAAAGACTGCTCACGAGCCAGTTCATTACATTATCATGCCGACATCACCATGTTTACCCTTTTCTTTCCAAGACGAAATTCAGCAATACTAATGAGCCACTTATTTGGCAAGGTATATATACAAAAAAAATGCCCAACCAAACAAAAAAAACCCGACCAACTACTCCATAGAAAGTTAAGCATAAGTTGTTATCCAGCACTGCCTAGTCTGTATTTATATTGTACCACTGGAAAAAAAACAACATCTACAAATATTTTTCCCTGGAGTTTGAGACTCGCACAGACAGAAGTAGTAGTCCACACTTCAGAAATCAGCAATTTCACACCTGTCTCAGAAAGATAGCATTTCATTTGGCAGCTTGCTGTTAATATTGTCACCCACTAATTAATTCCACTGTGGAATTCTCAGCTGGTCTCTGGCTTCATTCTCTTACTAACTCTTAATTATAGAGCAAGCAAAGTCTAGTGATCAGGGAGGAAGGGTCTCATGGGCATCAAGGAAGAGACTAGTGATAAATGCATTAGGCAAGGTAAGCTGTAAATACATAGTGGTGCACTTAGCAGTGAATTATCTAGGCACTGAAAAAAGAGGATTGTGGATTAGATTTACATGTCAGGGTATCAGGACCTTTGCAGCGAAGTGTCATGTTAGAACTCCACTTTCTTGACCTCCACGTAGTGGACTGGTGTGGCAGGCAGTCTGAAGAACGCAAGATTGCCCTGTCAAAATCAGAGTAATAAAACAAGCACTTACGGCAACCATTTTTGGCATATATCTTTTTCTGGGCATCCCCAGTGGCATCATTAATTTTTTTTAACAATTGGTCATCTTGTAATTCCCACTTCCCCTTGACACTCTTTATTGCAGTAAGTGACATTCATGAAGTGTCATTTATAAGACCTGGGAAAAAAGAAAGTTTACATTATCCCTTGCATGTTTTTAATCCTATTACCAAATATTCTTGTTGTTAAGAAAAAAAAAAAAATCTCAGTGAACAGGGAGCTACCATTCAAGCGACTCAGCCCTTCCAGTGAATATTTTCCATCTTTTTGAAGTTACATGTCCAAAGTTCCCCCATTAGTACCAATGCATTTTGAAACAGCATATTGCAGTGGGAAAAATAAATTTATCCTTGGCCATGATGTTAGAATATATCAAGGGGAATTTTGCTAATCCAAATAAAGCTGAGTTTTATACTTCAAAAAGCGAGTAAAAAGCAGTTTTCTCCCCATTTTTCACACAGCATGACATGGTAAAGTTGCAATGAAGTTTTAGAGAAAAAGTGGTATTTTTACAACATATGGCAGTTTATGATTACTACAAGTTACTATAGCATAGCCAAATTAAAACAACACTCCAATTTAAAAAAATATGAACAAAGTGCGTTTGTTTAAATTTGACAAATAGGCACATCACTTGCAGTGACTGCCTTAGCTATTATTAGTATAAATTAAGGAATGTCTTATGGCCTATAAACTTTGGGTAAAAGGGCTGGCAGAGAAGGGAGGTGGGGGAGGGAGAAGGGAACGGGATGTCTAGAGATGAAGCACATCATTTCCTTGTGAGGCAGAGGTGGGAGGAATTACTAAAAATTGTAAAAGGACCTTTTTATGACCAATGTTGGGGAGGAAGGGGATTTTGAACACACTCAAAGTTTGTGCAACAAGTTTGTGAACCATCTGAATCAGAGCTGAGCTTCCTCAAGGAAGAAAGTTAAAACAGGCCTTCTTCTTTCCTTGAGTTTCCACAGGGCCTGGGGTTTACAGTAGCTCTGTATAGTAGATTGTGATCTGAATTTAAGTCAGTTTGACTCTCAGTGTCATGGAAGTAGCCAGAGCTTTTTAAGCATAATGGAAATGTGTCCAGTGATATGTACTCATGTGGACTTCAGAGGTGCTTTGTAGCAAGCCATAAGGTTCATCACATTTGCACGTGTGGATTATCACTTGTTTCAATATGCACAAAAAAGGAAGGGTCTCAAGGTGTAAGAGTGGTCCTCCACAATAACTTTCCCAAGCTCGGTCCAGAAAGCTGAAAATAGCTCCGATTGATACAAGCGGCCAATAAACTCCAGATCATGAAGGGACTGAAGCTGTGAGCTATAATCAGACGCACACAGGTAAGACAGTCAACACAGGGAGAAATGCCCAACAATCCCAATTGCCAACTTCTTTTATTTCAGAAGAGAGGATTCCATCTATCTGTGACATTTCAAAATACGGAAATAGAAAAATACTCAGATGTTCTTGTGTCTTAAGTTATTTTTGTGCACAAAAACACATCTTACTCTAGCATAATTTTGAGCTGAATCATACGTTGGTGCCCAACCAAAAAATCTTGCATTTGAAACAAAACTTGAGGCAGTTACAGATCCCTATTGTTAGTCTAAAACCCTCAACTGGCAAAATCTTAAACCGGGTTTAGAAGCAACTATTAACTGAGGTAACAATATATTATCTGAAAATTCAGTATAATAAAATCTTTTTCCCCCCTGTATGGATTAGCCTAAGAGAAAGTTAAGTTTGTATGGTGAAGCACTCAAAATAGAGAAAGGTTTCACACTTTATTTAAACCATCATATTTTATATATAAAAATACAGTCCCTGTGCTGGTTTGGAATTAGTAACTTGTAGCTGAAGTCAGGCATGATTAACTCCAGGTAGATTAAGTAAAATAAAAAAAATACCCTCTTAGCCAATACTTAAACTTGTCATTTTGGCAGACTTGGGCTCTTATATCATATATATATTATAACATTTCAGTTACTATATTGATTTTTTCCCCCCCAATTTGATCCTACTGTATGTATACATGGTACAAGAAGTTTAATTGCCTGCATATCTGTTTTGAGGCTTTTTTATTTCCTCCTTTCTCTCTCCGGACACTTAAATTTGTACCCTCTTTTCATACATTTTTAGTTCCTTCCTTTTGGGGATTGGTCAACTCAGCTTGGAATCTTTGCTCGGTTGGGAAGAGACAGTCACCTGTCAATATAGAAACCAGCCATATGATCTTTGATCCCTTCCTCACTCCACTTCGCATAAACACAGGAGGCAGAAAGGTAAGTGCCCCAGCATGTGTTGATATAATAATGAGGAATTAATAGATAAAGAACTACTTGGTACTTTTTATATTTATGAAGCATTTACACATTTTAATGTCAATGAGCTCTGAAGACCAAGAAATACCAGATTGTCAGAGCTGCACATCTCCATGGCATGGATCAAAACTAAACGTGCTTTGGGATAACACAAATTTGACAGTATTGCCATACCGCAGTGTCACTTAAAATGTATCTGCTCATGTTATGGATTCAAAAATGTTCTAGTAAAACCTTGGTAATTCACAGGGTTAGATTTCTTAGGCCCTGCAGACCAACTGGGACTATACACAGCAAACAGCTGCACAGGACTGGTGACTTGCTGGAGCCGAATAGAAGAGCAGCATCCTTGGAAGCAGAAGCTATGTTTAAAAATCTGCATAACTCATCCTTGACCCTGCTGCAAGTTAAGCAGGTTGCAAACCATTTAGACTGTGCTGTTTTCACCATCCAGAATGGGGGCAATTTTAAAGCAGCTAGGTTGCAAATACCAGACATACCAGCCTCAGGTGGCCCAATTCTTCCCTTGCACTGGTCTCAAAATCATGCAATTAGTGTAATGATAGTATTTGAACATGTGCGATCACAAGAATCACTTCATAACATTTTGAATCAGAAGTGGAGACATCTACGCATTTTACAGTAGAAGCTGGGGAGGGAGCTAGGTAGGCTCATTAAAACATATGACTAACATTTTGGTTCAACTGCACTAGAAGTTAGTTTTCATGCCTGTGCTATCACCGGGGTTAACTGGTCCTATGGCACTAACTAGAAAGCAAACAAATAGAAGAAAAAAAAACTAGCAAGTAAAAAAATTGTGAATACACCAGATGAACTGTGAATGATACTTGGCTTACTCAGAGCTCAGCCAGACTTCCATCAAGTTAATTGAGGGCCATGTCACACATTATCCTTACCATGTAGTAAATGCACTTAAGGGGTTAGTATCTGCATGTTCGTGAAGGAAAACGTGTGCCATAAGTATGTGTGTATTGTAGCAAACTTTAAGAGTTTTTTGGCCGACGAGCATCTCCATAACATACTAAATAATGGTTGAAGCAACATTGGCCTGCATTGCATAGATAGTACAAGCAACTAGCAACAGAACGTGAGCCAGTCACATAGACCTTCATAGTAAGCATTACCATATGACTGCTCAGAACATCTTCCAACTTGGATGTCACATAACGTTCCACAGATTTAGCATGTACTAAGTGTCCCATGTGGCAAGGCCCTAAGTAAGGCCGTTGTTTCATTTGCAGCGTAGTTGCCAAAACGACTGGGATTTTTAATTTAAGCCTCCAATTTCTATTAACTTGCAATATGTTTCTAAAAACAAAATAAACAGCTTGATGAAGTTCTCAAATTGCCCTATAAAACAATTTGGCAATTGCATCTTATTACAATGAAGTCTAAGAAAGGAGGGATTTTTAAGCTTGGTTTTCAGTGATGAAGTCCTCAGCTGGCTTAATTATGGAAGGCTTACTAGCTCTCCAGCTAGAGCCTTACAACTCAGTTTGCTCCATTTTGTTCTTTATGAGAACCTTGTTTCACTGTATCTTCTTTTTTTACTTGACAAGTGTTGGATGCCATAAAGATCAAGACCACGAGAAGCTGTTTATTCACCAGTTGTTCACCTGCTCCAAATTTAAGAGGCTTTAACATAGTTACTAGAAGATACGATTAAAGTTATTGATCCATTCCCTCTCCTCATTTAAAAATGTAACCAAGTTAAAGGGAAAAAGCAATTTGGGCAGAGGTCTTTAGGAATAAACACAAGATATGCCCAAGTTATTTGGATCCATGTTTTGTTTTTCTGTGGGCAGGCTTGAGGCACTCTTTTTCTCTGACTTCTAAGTTACTCCCTGGACACTGTTCTCCCCCTTTTGGAAAAGGGAGTCCAGCTGCCTAAGCCCCAATTTTTTCTCCTAGTAGCTTAAGCACACCTTCTCCAGAGCTCCAGCACTCCAGGTACTCTGGTTTTACTGTCATAAAGACACATGATAGCTGAAGCCAAACTGAACACAGACTTCGTAGATTAAGTTTTACAACATTCATTCTTTACTTTCAGCAGTACAAGAGAGATACAAAACCATACAGAATAATAAACTCTGGGGAACTATTACCTGCCTCAGCACTCTTGAATGCTCATTAACGTTTGGTCAGCATCTTGTAAGAAGCCTACAGCCCTGCTTCTCCTCTTAACACAGCATTGCTTTCTACTTCTACTTAGTGAGAGATTCTTCCTTTTACACACTCCCCGTCCCACCTCCCCCCACCATGACCTATTTCCTCAGCCTTGAATTACTATCAGGTAATCAGCTGCTTAGTTACCAGTTCATTTGGCAGGGAGGGTTTGCCTTATTAGCCTGCTTTTTGTCCAAGGATTTTTTTTCATTTGAATGAAAGGGTTGAGAACCTTCCATTGCTAATCCTCCAGCAAGTTCAAGAGCTTTGCCTGAGGTGTCCCAGGTTTCCCACTAATAGGGGAGCTACAAAGCTAAATTGCAAGCAAGGAATGGTCTTACAAACAAAATGAGACTCAGCAAAAACAACCGAGGCTGTAGTTTGATATAGGTGTGAAGATATATTCTAGGCATACACTAACCTGTGACAACACCCTTCAATGTATTGTCCCTGTGCTGTTTGTGCTTTGCGAGTAAGATCTTCAGAGGTTCACATCCCATTTTCACAGACAGTTGAGGCCCAGAAGGTACAGTGCGTAATGCAACTCGATGTAGTGCTAGCTTAAATACTGGCAGCGGTATATAGCATGGCTCTCTGTCCAAGCTACTTAGCCCTGCTGAATTTTACTCTTAACAAGCAATTAAAGACTTTAAAAAATGGGGTCTGAGCCTTAAATGCACAAGAACGAGTTCATGTAAATTACTAAATAACTATGCAGTGTATTAAGGAAACGTTATGTTCTGTCCCTAGATATTGAAATATTTTCAGTTAGATCTTTTCAGTGTACAGTCTCAGGGAAAATGTTGCCTAAGAGGGCCAATAAATGTTTCCCCTTTTTTTGTAATGAAATTGCCCTTGGAAGTTTTTTTCCAAATTTCCTCTGCAGTTTTTGAAACAGTCATTATAGCGTTGGCCTAATGCATGAAACAGACATTACAGCATTGGGCTAATGCATGAAAACCTGACGTAATTGACCAGAAGTTATTTATGGCCGTAATTTAAAACAAGACTCAAGCATGTGTAAGTGGTCTGCTGAATTGGATCCCATAAGCAGAGTTGTAACAGTGGTAGTTTTGATGTACAATGAGAATGCTCAGTTTCCAGTGAGAAACATAAAAAGTTCCGCAAAATAAAGAATGAAAAGCAAATTAGATAATTTGTAATAATCTAGTGTGACGTTAGTAACAGAGGATAGGCCCTTTATATATATTATTTTAAAATTGTAAGGTGAAGTGATGAATTATCTCATTCTTTCCAGTTATCTTTGTTAAAAGTATAATGATATATATACGTAATTATAAAAAAGAACCTGCAAATGGGAACACAAACCGGTTAAAAATTAATAGACAAAGACTGAGCCATACTCAACTCATTTCTTAAAATTTGATTTCATCAAAAAGTGCTATTCAAACAGACGCCGTTATTTGAATGGACATAGCTGTATGATTACTTTGAATGAAGTACTGGTTCTAAGAAATGTACTTAGGATAGGAATTCAGGAAAAATACAGGAAATGACTAAAGGTTATCACCTATTTTTTGAATGGGATTACAGTTTTTCTCAACCCTAAAATTAATTTTGAAACAAAGCGTCTTGATCTGCTGGAACATATTGGCAATCCCGGATGTAATATATTCTTTCTTAACGCTTCATCTGTTAATATGAGGATGCACAAAGTGGTATTTTAAATATTTCATGGCTTACATTTATGTAGCAATTCTCTTTTACTTTATTCAGTCCTTTAGTAACACAGGATAATATGGAAGTACAGGTGATAGGAGGTACAGTATTTAACCAAAATCATAGAGGCTAAAGCCCCCTTAACAAAAATGTAAGACATTCTAGAGTGTTTCTTATCATGTACCATTTCCACATGGGTTTCGACTCCTTCCATAGAGTTTCTGATTGTTTATATGCACAGAATTCAGAATTTATTTCAGCATTTACATCTTGGAATTTTCTACAAGGTAGGAACTCTTTTTTTGCTATTTGACTACTAGTAAAACAACACTTTGGAGGGTATGCCATAGGAGATGAATTATATCAGTGAACTAAAGCCTCCTTATCTCACTTGTACAAGCTATGGATGTTAAACTAATTGATGCTCTTCCCATGTTGTTGTGAGCAGGATTTGGCTTGTGTGCGCATTAAATTTGGCTTGTGCGTACATTAAATGAAGGCAGAGTCCTATTTCACTTTATGGATCTTAATGGCAAGGTTATCAACTGCAGTTTTTAGCACTCGTGCACTATTTTGGTTTCTAATTTCACTCTGCACACATCTAAAAGGAGGAGTATTTTAATCCTAATAACTGAGTTGCTAGGGTACTTACCCAGGGAGAAGCAGACCCAGCTTTTAAGCCTCTCTCACATACAGAAGATATGAACTTGCAGGTCCTGTTGCCAGACAAAGTGTTGCAGCCACAAGGCCACAGGTTAGATACAATCCAGACTCTTCTTGGGGCTCATTCATTGCACCTTCCATTTAATATTTATTTTATAAAATGGATGAGAGCAGTGAGGTTGTTTCTGCCCCCTTGGGAGTAAAAATTCAATCTGGAACCCAGGGCAATAGCCATTTCACTGAGCCGCAGCCCCCCATCTTATTTACTTTCCCCTGGGCCTCCAGGGTAGAAAGGGGGACCTGCTTAATGTCTAACCTAGTGGTTCCCAATCTTTATAGACATAAGGCACACTCAAAAAATGCCAGCCCTTACCTTTCCCTTGTTTTTTGACCATGGAAAAATAACAGCAATTCTTCTGTTGCAAAGAACTCAGAAAGACCACAACAGGTCAGAATGCCTTTGACACTATGGATTTCTATTTGAAATCATGTGAATCATGTGTAGATGTTTGCATACCTAACCGTACTACTATTGCTTGCTATCTCTTAAAAGAATCTCAGGCACCCCAGGGTGCCTTGGCACTCTACTTGAGTATCATGGGCCTAACCTGTGGCCTGGTATTTAGAGGATGAAGATTTATACTCCATCCTGGGTAGTGGGGGAGGCTTTAAAACCTAAGTCTCCTGCTCCCTGAGTAGATGACCTAATCACTAGGCTGATATGGAGGGGGACCTCTTTTCCCCTCCCACTAGTCATGTTTTGTCTGGCTAATGTTTGTAAACTTACCCAGCATACCTGGGAAAGCATATGGCACCAGGTACCTGCCTAGCCAAAGTATAGTTCTGTGAGTATCCTGAGTGAGCACATGGACAATATTGTGCCCAAACTGTATGCAAGTGCCAAACCTGAAGTGATGAAGTGGATACGTTCCATTTATTAGGGCTATGCAAAGCCTTGGTCGCTGACTTAAATCAGAAGAGATTTGGCCCAATTCAGCAGCCTAATCTCCAAATCCAGATTGAATAAGGAGACCCATTAATCTCTCCGAATTGAATCAGAAGCCTCCAATTTGATTCGGAGAGAGTCAACGATTCAACCATAGACACAGCTTCATGGGTTTTTTTACGTATCTCGAGGTACCAGGCATGGCTCGTGAGCACTGAGATGGTGGGGTGGATGGAGAGTCCCACAGGAGTGCGGGGGGGAAGCGTGGTGGATCCCCTCAGCTTGGCGACTGGTGCCTCCTAGGTCTGGGGGGGCACCTGGGGTCCCCCCGCAGCCGATTGCTGAGCTTGGGGGGATGCGGGAGGGGGTCCCCCGTGTGCTTGGCGGCAGACCCAGAAGTAGACCACAGATACTTCTGGTCTACTTCCAGGGCCACCACTGAGCATGCAGGGGACCCTCCCATGGGAAACTCCAACTGCCTCAGCATAGCAGCATTCACAAGCCGCACCTGGTACCTTGAGGTATATAGAAAAAACATATAAAGCTGTGTCTGTGGCCAAATCCCTGACTCTCTGAATTAGAGTCGAATCTTCAGATTCAGTCGAATCGCATCGGGACAGTGATCCAAGGCAGCGAATCGAATCACTGTCCCCCAAAATTGAGCCCATTCTGAATCTGAATCGAATACTGCCCCGCTTCTCACACCCCTACCATTCATATGTGTAAAGTGAAATAGGATTTACGCCTAAGAGGCCAGTGATTATGGTAAAATAAAATTCTTAGGGCCCAGTTGTGATCTGGTGCTCCAAGTGTGCGCAGTGAAGAAAGGCTCAAGAGAATCTCTCCACTATGAAGTACGCAGACGGGTCCCTTTGTAAACATCCCAAATCAGTGTGAATGGAACAGGAAGGCAGCAGGCCACAGACTCCTCCCAAAGAACTGGCCAACCAAGCAAGGTCCATGTGTAGGGGAGGCACGTGTGCTTTAGTCACAGAACGAACATGGCAGTCATTCTGTTCTTCTCCCTCGTCATGTGATTAAATATTAAGAAACAAATTAAGGATACAAGATAATGTACACGGTCTGTAATTTAGTCTGTTGGTACCAGATGTAGACATGTTGTGCAATTACACATTTTGAGAAGCTGATACCATTCAAGAGCATGCCCCAGGAATTGCAGCATTTTCTTTGCCTCGCTGTGACTTTCCAGCTCTGCAGTTGATATCTTGGGAAGTAAACTCAAGCCTTTGTATCTGTGATTTAATTCTTTAAATCTCTTTATGGTGGTTGTGGAGCTGTATTGCTGTAATTCTACCTACAACGGGATTTGATCCTTGTCAGAGGCTTTTCAAATTCAAGCTGGAAACCCTCACTTGAAATTTCATTTAGGATGAGTGAGATGAGAGCAAAAGTAAAAAACATTTTCTGATGCTAGTTCTGTGACACTTTCCAAATGTGAAACTGAAGTTATTTTATTGCATTTATTTTTCTCACATATGGTTACGAGTAGGTTAGGTTACAGTTTCTAAAACTGCACGATGGTTGTTCTTGACCATTTGTATTGGTACGTTTTGCAATCTTTGTTGCTGTTTTGTAGCAATCCAGATGGGCCTAACTATTGAAAAATTAGAGAAAAAAACCCCCACACCTTTAGGTTTCAGACTGTAAGCTTGAGAAAGTTTCCAGGCATTTTCCTGAACATCTCTGCACTTTGTTCACTGAATTTATTACAC